CATCAAAAACTGATAACGTGGGTTAATACTGTACTAGACATTTCATCAGATGACTGTTAATGTGGGTTAATAATGTACCGAAAGTCTCATCAAAAACTGATAACATGGGTTAATACTGTACTAGACATTTCATCAGATGACTGTTAATGTGGGTTAATAATGTACTAGACATTTCATTATTAACCCATGTTATCAGTTTTTGAATGTACTAGACATTTCATCAGATGACTGTTAATGTGGGTTAATAATGTACCGAAAGTCTTATTAGAAGACTACTAACATGGTAATTATGGTAATTTTGAAGTTGGTAATGTCAAAAATTGTAAAATTCAACTTTCTGCATATTTTTGCTTTACAGTTTTCAAGTTTTTGTGGTTTAGAACTTGGATTTAGATAATTATTGAATCTTTGAAAAATCTAATTCAACTTCTCAAAACGTTTTGAATTTTTTTCTTGGAAAGGTGATATGGATCTGAATCCTGACTAACAACACAGACTTATTCTTTGTGAAAGTTAATATAATTACTTACAATCAACTATACCTATATACACTTAAAACAAATGCAAATGAAGTGTGATGTTGTTATAACATCATTCATACATATACATTCCCATGATGACAAATCTATTTCAAAGCAGTAGCTTTTACAATGGTTACTCCTGTTGGGTTTACCATCACAGATAAGTGATCAGCAGGTGCAACTATCCCATAGTCTCCTCCATCAAACAAGTCTACAACATGGTAGCCAGATGGATTTAGTAGTCCAAGTTCATTTGCTGCTGTCTTTACCTGAGTTGGTGTACCATCTGTTCGTCGATTCAAAAACAGTAAAGCAAAAGAGTGGTATCCATGAATAATAGGTGTGATAGGTTTTCTCCATATTTCAATTCTCTCTTTCTGTAAACAAACAAAATAGCTTTTTGAAGTTAGCAGGGTTAATCAAAAAAATTAAATGTAGCTGACACCAAAATTAAGCCATTTTATCTTTTTACATAATTATTTTACAATAACCAATAAAAACATTTGATTAAGCCTTTTTTAATGACCAAAGCATGAATCACAGCTATTAATTATGGCAATACAAATATAGGAGAATCAGAATATATTAAATATACTGGAATTACACTTTGAATATAGGAGGTATTAGATATGAAATAATTAAGAAAGAACAATTAAAAATTTACTATTTGATATGTTCAATCACAGCATTAGCCTGTGTAAGAAACATCAGAAAGCATTACATGTACTTCTCAATTAGAATCATGTGTTTAGGAGACAAGTTTGTAAACATACAATCTGTATCATTTCTACACTAATTCAACTGCACATCTAATTTTTATTATTTCATTATATTTAAGTATACAATTTTACCTTACAATAATGAAATTTAATGATTTCTCACAGACTAGCAAATAGGTATCAATTGTGGTTTACATTCTATCTTCTCAATTCTTTCAAACAGTCTTTTGTTTATTTTACATGTAATTTATTTTCAATAAAGAAAAATGTGTGGAAAAAGAGCAATTAGAGCATCAACAAGAAAAAAGTTTTACTGCAACCAGTTATAATGAACTAAACAATTTATCTTATGAAGAGCACAATGAAAAATATCTCCATGAACTTGGCTACTTCAATGTAAAGTCCTTGGCAAAAACATTCTGAAACCATTACTCTTGAACTGCCATACAATCTTAATGTATCTCAATTATGGCCAACAGGCTGAATCTATCAGCTGGAACACGTTCTGCACTGTTATATCTGAAGGTGAAATATCATTGGATCATATCACACTAGCTGTAAAAAGCATGTAACAGGCAGGAAAAAAATATTTAAAAAATTACTGCTGAAAATAGACATGCAACACTTAATCCACCGAAACATATGGTCTTATATTGGGACGGAAAGCTAGTTCCAGACGTCTGGAATGAAAACAAAGAATATCTAACAATTTTCATTTCTGGGATGCTAAATAAAAGGAAGAAAAAACTTCTCAGAACACCCATGATAACAAACATGGGGGAAAACACCCATGATAACAAACATAGGGGAAAACACCCATGATAACAAACATCAGGGAAAACACCCATGATAACAAACATGGGGGAAAACACCCATGATAACAAACATGGGGGAAAACACCCATGATAACAAACATAGGGGAAATTCAAGCAAAAGCTTTCTTCTTTCCAACTGGGGAGTTACTGAAAATACTCAAGCATTAGTCTTTCATATAATAGCATAAAATTCTGGATGGAAAAATGGTGCCTGTGTACAACTGGAAATTATTTATGATCACTTGCCAGCACTACAGTTTTGAACATCTTTTACGTGATGCTTACAAGGAATTATTTGCTAAAATATCGGGACCTGAAAATGTAGACTTTGCTCAACTTACTTTGGGCAAACATCAATACAGCTATAGAATACTACAGTTCAAGAAGCAATCCCTAAAGAGTGATAAGAACAATGTCATTTGGTTGTTGAAAAGAATTCTTTCAGATCCTGACATGATAAATATAGAGGACATTCAGAAACCCCAGAACAAGGAAAACACTGGATAAAACCAGGCATGGTTCATCATGCTTGCTGGATGCCTTCAATTTTATGTCTGGCAAAGACGTTCCCTTTCATTGCACAAGCTGGTTATGACCAATGTATGATTCAGAACTTGGAAGCTCTCTGTAGACTCAATGCTTTGTTTTATGGAGAACAATGGCTTTAATATTTTAGGGAGAACAATGGCTTTCGTGTTTGAAGGAGAACAATGGCTTTCATGTTTTAGGGAGGACAATGGCTTTCATGTTTTAGGGAGAACAATGGCTTTAATATTTTAGGGAGGACAATGGCTTTCATGTTTTAGGGAGGACAATGGCTTTCATGTTTGAAGAAGAACAATGGCTTTCATGTTTTAAGAAGAACAATGGCTTTCATGTTTTAAGGAGAACAATGGCTTTCATGTTTTAAGGAGAACAATGGCTTTCATGTTTTAGGGAGAACAATGGCTTTCATGTTTTAGGGAGAACAATGGCTTTCATGTTCATTGGCGGTTAATGCTCCTCATAATGATCTGCTACTTTGGCAAGACTTATATGAGAACAAAAATCATTATGAACAAGTTGTAAGTGGGTGTTCTTGAATGACATCTGTGGTACCTTACGGAGGAATGTATATCATTCTCTCGTTTTTTCAAACCAATCTTTAAAATTTCATACAATAACAATTAGAACAAAGGGTTTCAGCAATATTTGAACCTGTAACTGTGAGCCACTACCAAGCAGATGTTTTAACTAACTTGGATACTGCATCTCAAAACCATAAACCTCAGTTTCTACTTCTTCAGTAACATTCTTAACTTTGAGATGTCTTAAATAACTTCCATTAGGTACCAAAATAAAATAGGAATAGCTGATTCAATTTCTAAGTAGTAGATATCCAATATAAAAATAAGATGAAGATTTTGCTTATAAAATAATATACATTACATTTTGCTTGAGTCTTTATGTTATTTTCTTTTTAAATATACATATAACAAATGGTTTAGACTTTCCAAGTAACTCAAAGCTAAGACACTACAACAATTTTCAGATATTTTCTTGAATGTATTTTTATCCTGATAAGCTTGGTTAATTTACTCTGAAAGCTCAATTACAACACCCACAAATATATATATATATATATAATTTTTATATTTGCTTTTCATTCTATTAATAGTTTGCAAAGTGCATGTTAATGACATTTAATCTACAGTTACGTGAGTGAGAAAACTGCAAAAGTACAGATTATTAATCAATTTTAAACAATTTATTGTAGTATGTAACAACTGTATATTTCATACATACCACTTCCTGAGTGAGAAAACTGCAAAAGTACAGATTATTAATCAATTTTAAACAATTTATTGTAGTATGTAACAACTGTATATTTCATACATACCACTTCCTGAGCAGAAATTTGTCATTCCTTTTTATTAAAAGATATACCACAACAAGAACCTACAACTCAATATTACCTTAAAAATTCTTTTGCCTTGAATACCCAGTGGATCTTGATTCACAGCAATAACACCTTTGTTCTGAAGAATGTCTTTAAATTCAGCATGAAGATTTCTCAAATCATTAGACATTAGTAAGGGTGCAGCAAGTACAGCCCATACAGCCATCTGAGCTTTGGCCTGATCATAACTTAAACCATAATTGCCAATTATGATCTGAAATTTGAAAAAGAATGGTTAAACTGCAATTATAGGAAAACAAAAGAAATATTTCATATGAAAATGATAAAATTCATACGAGAGAGGAAATGGAATTTTCAACCATAATGGTATCTTATGTACACATAGGCTAAACAGCCGGGTCACAGACCTCAAGGTTCAAGTACACCTGTTCTTAATTTTCAATCAGTTACCAGAACATGGGAAGCCAGTTAATAGCATACCGTCACAGTTTTTCCTGGTTTGTTTAACCTAACAGCAGGATTGACTGTCACTTTTATAATGCATCTATGCCTTAAAATATGGTGTAATAAGTTATTTATAAATTTGAATTTCTAAACACACCCAAATGTCCATAATATTTGATTGCATTATCATTACAGACATTTAAAAACAAAAATATTTACATTATTTTATGATAGCAAAGACAAACTATCAAATTATAATCCCAACAATTGTAATTATGTAAAAATAACATATTTGTAACAGTCTTCCTGAGTGGTACAATAAGTATTATCAAACCTGAGAAAGCCAATTAGGAAAAACGTTTCTTTTCCCCAGAAGTATCTACTTGAATTAAAGTCATTAAAATTCCCAGCCAATCAGCTAAACTCTTCCTATTGCCCCCAGTATTTCAAATGTTCCTGGAATAATACAGTTTAGAAATGAAGCAATTGGATATTTGTGAGAGAATTCTACAATTGCTTCAGTATGTTTAGCATTTTAAATAAAGTTATAACAATTTTCTGAGTTTTGAGTGAACATATATGTGAAGAAATGGTGAAGTAAAGACACATGTATTACGAAATAAGGTCAAGAGATAGAAAGTACATCTAGCTGGTTAAGTGATATTGAGAATTCTGAGTTAAGAGTTATAAAAGATGAAGCTATTGCCTAGCAACAAAGTAGATGCACTAGCACCATTGATTGCCAGTGATTAATTATTGATGCCAACTTGTTAGTACTGTGGTAGCTACGAAAAAGTTGATGTTAACATGCAACAGCCGTACTTTGATGCTATATTCCTTACACGACACTGATGTACTAGCACAAGTGAAAAGGCAACCAACTAACCCACCATAATAGTAACCAATCACTTGAGAGTTTTGGTTATAGTTTTGGACTAGCCTGAGAAGTTGCACAAATCGACCAATAGTGTTAGAACTACTTGCAGGTAGTTAGGAACACTATTTTGGAGGTCGAGAAAGAAAATATGGGTTAAAAACTCATGCCTGAAGCTGAAAAATCAATTCTTGCCGAGAAGTTAGTTCTTGTTCCAGAATTCTTCAGTGAGTTCTTGTCAGTTGTTCTTATAGTTCTTTACTATGAACCTAACGTCCTAAAGTATACTGGTCAGGCACTGTTGTGAGTATAGAATTACCATCTTTCTTGATTAATTAATGTAGTAAAGGATATTCATGTTTATATTAGAGAAATGTACTCTATATGTACTGATTAACAGTAACAGTTGTAACGATTTGTAAACTTTTGACTATTATTGTATGTTATGTGGATGATTTAATAAATGTTGTTATATTTTGTTCAATGTTAGTCTTGGAATCTGTTTCTTTATTCTAACGGTAAATTACCTCGAGTTAGCTACTTGTGAGCTCCACTCGCTACTGCAAGTCCTCCACTAATTAAATTTGGTGTACTCGGCAGTATAATTGAAACTCCAACAATTTGCCCTAAGGGTGCTGCCCGTTACAGTAATAAGCAGACTACCACTAATACCATCTTTCTTACCACAAGCTTTAGTGATTAACCGTTTAGAAGTGATGTAAAGGTATATGCACACTTTTGCACTTGCTTACTGATTGTGCAATCTTCATAAATAAAATAGAATATCACAAAAAAATAAAGGTTTTTCACACTTATGATTAATAAACACAAAACAGTAACAAAATATCCTTTAATTTATCATTCTTAAGGAACAAATGCTCAAAAAAAGAAGTAAAAACAAAATAAAAAGCAGGTTTCACAGCATCAATTATTAAGAAACAGAGAAGAAAAGCATTACAAAATATTTATAACAGTAACAATCAGATGTTAATTTATAATCTACTTAACCATATCAGGATCATTCCAGTGTCCTGGTCCAGCATGAGGAGCCATTACCTCCTGATTATCTCCATAAAAATCAATAATTTTCTGGATGCTATCCCATGAATCCTGAATGTCATCAAAGTTTCTCCACAAATTACAGTGCTTACTAATTAAGGCGTAATTCGGCTGAAATACGAATACTTTTTTAACGTGTGCAATAGGGAAACGAAAAGCTTAGTTACAATTCAAATATTCTAAAGTGTCCTTCTCCTACTGTTTTACAAAATCAGAATAAATTTAAAGAAGTATTTAAGCTTCATTACAACAAATATGATAACCAATTTTCTAAATTATGCAATATTTTTATAAATACGTTTTTGTAGCAGAAAATAATTATTATATTGGTTACTTTTCCCAGAAAAATTTTAATTTAACGATGAGTCCATAGACAACTTTTGGAAAGAACATCACCTTTTTAAATCAGTTTTTTTTTACTAGTCTTCAATATTCAAGTTTTTCTTTCCTTTTAACTTCCTAATCACTATTTTAAAGATCCAGATACCATATTACTTGCAAATAGTCATCACAAAGTAAGAATACCCGTACATGTAAAATATATTGTTATTGGGTTGTTAAAAAGATTGTACTGTTCGTGTTTTTACCACATTATGTAATTAATGTTGGTATCAAACTCACCTGAAATGAGATATCGAATATAACTGGTATTAAGATGGACAAGTAGGTAAGAAAATAGAATTAAAAAGGAGAGTACTACATCAAAGTGGCAAGTATGATGGGGAAAAACTTTAAAAGGAATAACAGTTTTTATTTTTATTAAAAAGGCTACAGGACCCCTCCCAACGTTTTTGGACCCAGTTCGAAAATTTCTAATTAGTTTTTTGGATACCTCCAATATCATTGATGTAGTGTCAATTTCAGATCTGGCTGAACATCTACAAAAAGCCAAAGCTAATCCCCATAGATACCCTGGTTATCCCTTACAATCATTTCAAATTAACACATTTCATGCGAGTATTGAGACTGTCCATGAAGCTGTTGTGACATTAAAAAGGCAAAGAATTAATCCACCTTCCTAGGCTCACTACAGAAATAAGAATGTTCCTGTTGGACATATCACACAAGTAATGATTCTATACTTGATACGGTAGTGTGTTCTCATAGCTGTTTTTCTATATCTGAATATTACACTGAAATATAGATAAGTGGAAAAGGTTTGACTCCAAACTGCACTGTACATACACAGAAATTTCAGAAACTGTTTTCATTTACTGAAAGTTACATGGTCTCTTCAAGGGCATTTAACAGCAACTGCAATCATTAAGAAGAAAATGGTGGTCAAACTGAGCAGAAAATTGTACTGAACTTTTCAGTACAATTAATTTTGTGTAGCTTACATTAGACCTATTGTATACAATGGTAATTATTAATTTTGTAACTGATGGTGATGCTTCATCCCTCTTGAAAGCTTTAAGCTTTGAATTCTGCCTCTACCTGATCACTATGGAAGAACTTTTGAAATTGTGTTAAACAACTTCTAAAGACCTTAAAGGTGAGGATATGAACAATTTAACATCAACATCTCAAGTTGAAATTATAGTTTCAGATCTTGAAAGAATGAAGAAAGGTTTGCTTAACATTTTTCAACACTGCAAAGAACATCAGACAGTTTTGACTTTACTTACTCAGAACCTTGCACTAATGATTTCTTTTACATTGAATACAAATGTAAAATACAAGCTATTATGTGGTAAAGATCATTATTGAGTCAAATTATTTTATGAACTATTGGATTTGATCTAACAACTGTTGCTGCTCTTGATGTCCACTGATTATTTAGTGTTTTCAAATGCACAAAAACTCCCCACATTTCAAGCCTTGGCCACATTTAATGTAAATGAGAATTTAATAATTTACTATTATACCTGTACAGAGTTATCTGATCTCCACAAAATGGATCTAATATGCAGAAGGACAGGTGCAATGATTTGGTACCAGGGTATAAAAAGGAAATATGGTGTTGAAGTCAAAATAAAACTTTATTCAAAAAAATAAAGCAAGCAGGAAGATATTTGAAAATTAAGTGTATCTAATGTAGGAAAATGCAAACAAAAAATAAAAAGTTAAAGTACCCACAATCGACACACGAACAGAATAAAATAAGGATGGGACTACTACAAGTTAGTCTTGGCTTTCTAAGATCAAGGACCAACTGCCTTCCTCAAAAGTTAAGACTTCTAATTTGAGACCCTAAAACTGTGTATAAGACAGACTTACTATTTGTTTTCTAGCATTTTCCGTGCATAGTTTTAACTATAAACATCAGTCAAGAATGTAGTTAAGTTTCTTTTGCCCAAGCATTCATACTGTTCTGGGCCATTTACATACGAATGTGTCTTCTCATTACAAAGATTACTGTGAAGTTTAATGTACCATGAAAGAGGACTGTGATATTTTCCACTGAGCTCGAGTTATAATTATTTGTTATTTCCAAATGAGAATGACAAACACTAACGTATGTGTAGCACATGCACCTGAAGAAAAATAGCAAAATAACATAACCTCTAGTTTCACAGTACAGTACATTGGTAGCACAGCGTTGACAGTTGTTGCAAACAGTATCTTTGTAAGATGTATTGTTTTGATTTACTTAATCATGTCAGTAAAAAAAAAAAAGTCACTGTTTGTATGTCATTAAAAACAAAATTGTAAGGGTGGCAATCCTAGTGCCAATAGCTCAGTGAAAGAGATAAGAAATAGTAAGATTGTAGTGTATACTATAGGAAAATACAATTCATTATTTAACAGATATAGCCTCACAGTTCTAATTATGGCTTTTTACTTTGATCTTTAAGAAAAACTATTATTTTGTGCCTTGCCTATATGATGTTTTTTAATGTCCCATCAAAGAAAATGTAAAAAAAAAATCAATTAAAAGAAAAAGGAATATTTTGATATTTCTATTACCAATTCTACTAGCTGATGTACTTTAATCCCATCTCCTACACAAATAATGACTTGAAATTTAAACATCTCTATCTATCATGTATCAAAATGTACCTACTTAGCAGTCTGTTTCATTTAGCTCCTCAAGGTATCACCTAACTTGCCAATGGAAAAGATCACTGTCAACTTCTACATAGCATATTCAACTTCACAGAAATCTTTCCCACATATAATAACCTAGATGAATAACTCAGCAAAATAGGTTAACTAGGGTGAAATGAGCATAATTACTTCCTTGATCAGCATTTTATTGTTTAAACTACACACACTAGAACGTGTGACTTTATTACGTGTTTATTGTTGATCTGTTCTTTTAAGAAAAATGTGTGAAACATTGTAAACATTTGATATCCATAATATGCTGAGTGAGAAGAAAAGAGGAATGACAGTAGAGAAGTTGTTTGTGTAACATTGTACATGTAATATTATGTACTTTACAGGTACCTATTATTAATGGTACTAATAACTGGCTATACTAATTTATAATGTACAATTATAAACTGACATATATCATTTGTCAATGTACACGAATTGCATCTTTTATTATGTAAAATGTATAAATAAGTAGTTCTTGGAAACACAGTACCTTTATTATGCTACTCAAGACTAACGTTGGTGTCCTAGTACCACATGCACAAGGGAATCATCACAACCAACATCTCAAACACAAACTAAAAAAAGGGCTCAGAATACAGTTTTGGAAATTTAGAGCATAACTGAGTTTTACTGCTGAAGGTGTTGACATGTGCATTTAACCATTAAAGACTAATAACATTCTTATCCCCCCCCCCAAAAAAAAACCACTCACAGAATCTTTCCAGTAAATCCTGTTCTTCATGAACTATAACAAAGATCTTTTTTGTCATAAAAAATATGTAAACTCTTATATTTGTTATATTTCAGCTCAATAAATTGAATATATAGTTATTATGAATATTGATTTGTATCCTTGAAGACATGAAACCGAATATTGATTTGTATCCTCGAAGACATGAAACCAGTATCTATATATTTATGCATCTTTTTATTTGAAATCTTTGATGAACCAGATGTATAGAGTAAGCTGTCACTTATATACCAGCTAAGAAAATTTTCACAAGATAAAGAAATCTTATTACACATTTCAAATTCTTAAGAAAGCAGAATACTTTGATTCTTTCATAATATATTTACCTCCATTCCTATGTGCAATTGATAAAATGGCCAGCTACATGAGTATACCATCCGATGTCCAGTGTGGTTTAAGTGGTTTCCCATCAGAATATAACCTAGTCACATTTTATATAAAACTAGTATTTTTCTATGATTTTACTTTCAGTATTACAATATATTCTATAGTACACACTCATGCACACCATACATAAGGTTTTACAATCATTTATCTTTACTTGTCAGAAACCATAATAATACTAACCACATAAACTAACATTCAAACAAACCTTGCATTCAACATTTCCATCATGAATTTTTCCTCACATTTTAATGTTAATATATTTTATTGAATAACTTTCAAGTTTGATGATCGTATTGATTTTCTAAAACTTCATTCATAATGTAATTGTAGATATTTGTTCAAAGTTATTCGGCCATTATGTAACCTTGGCAACTAAACAATAGTAAAACTTCTTACTGGATGTTAAAATGCAAACATGACTGAATCTACATTTATAAATACGATGATCACAGTTATATAATCTAGTTATTAGAAATATCAGAAATATTGTACAGATTGGAAGTAAAACAGTGTGTAAAACACTGAGTAAAACACAATGTAAAACACTGTGGTAAACAAGTGTGGCTTTTGAATGAAATTTAACCAAAAAAAGCAAATAACAAATATTTTATTTCTTTAAATATATCTTTTATGCACATTTTTTGGCTATCCCATTGTTCAGGCAATGTCACTACACATATACATATAAGTAGGATAAAATGTAGTATTTAAGTGTTCAGAAAGTTAACACTTTTCTTACTTGAAAATGTATTTCCAATAGATATCTCCATACAAACAATAGCTCGATTCCTTGAGCATCTCCCTATGAGACTTGCATGCCATTAGCCTTGAACTAACTCGCATCTAAAAATCACGTTTAACACGAACTGAGCTAGTGCATGATGACATCATCATGTGACAATAGCCCTCCACCAATAGGAGGGCAACACAACCTCCTTGAGCAGTAACTCCCCTTAAGCACTTGTACTTGAAATAACTTCATAGTTAGACAAAGCAAGAAGACAGTGTATCGAAAATGTGTTGGAAAGTGTGATGAGGTGAGTATCTATAAGAAATACATTTTCAGGAAAGGAAAATGTTAACTTCCAAGACATCATCTCAACACATCATACAGAATAGCTAGAATCCCACATTGAAATGGCGGAGGGTCCAGTGTAAACATTAAAACTAGATGAGCTCTTTTCCAAAAGAGTCAGAAGTGAGAGCCCACGGAGAGCGATATCTGATGGCAGGGGCTCCGTAGGAGCACATTCATGACAAATCACATCTCATCTCAGCCAGGGTAAACTTTTTGCCCAAAAGGAAAGAGGGAGAAAGGCAAAAGATCCCCAAGTGTTGCAGGGACGGGTGGAGTTTTTACATGACCAACTAAGCACCTGCACACACATGGTGGGCAAACCAACAAGGTAGTGTTGTCAGGGCATGATCAGACTACACGACATGTTTCTGACCTTGACTAAACTGGATGGAGTTAACATTTTACAGTTGAAGGTAAGATCTAAATAACTGTAGTTATCGGAGAGTTTATAAAGTAAACTATTGTTGATCTTTCCAGTGTTGATGGATTATTGATGTTGATCAGTTGAGGGCTATAGCGTTGGGTGTTAATTTAAAGCTGTTTAACCTTCATGTCAGAGTATTAAAGTGTGCAAGGATTTGATGTCCATGGTATAAATAAATGAATCTTTATTTGTATATTATTTTTAGTTGTCTTTTTCTCACTATAGTAAACCAATATTTATAAAGATTTGAAGAAAATGTGTCGGTAATTCTACTAATTTATTTCTCTGTATCATTTAGAAAACAAGGTTACTGATGAGAGGTGGAATTTCCCAAAACTGGTATAACTCATTGAATGGAATGAAAGACTGAGATTCATATTTACTGTTAATTAACCCTATAACCCTTGGTACTATTCTTAAATCCCTTTCTATGCATGTCACAAAGTGTTACTGAGTTACTTTCAAAATTTAATTACACCATTTTACTGTCAATGTATTTTAATGAAATTAGTGTTAAAGTATGTTATGATTCAAAGTCTTATATTATTTAAGTTTTTATTCCTTTATTGCAAAAGAAACTGCTAAAAGAATAATTAAAAACTTCACATTTGCTCTTACTTGAAGTGCAAGTGGCTACAGCAACTGGACTTCAAACTTTGTAATACAAGAAACGACTATGGTTAAAAACGTTTTTTTTTAGCTGGCAATAAACTACATGTACACACAGTTCGTTTACCAGTAATCTGATACAACTTCATATAACTGACCTCAAAAGGAAATTACTACAGACATTCCAGAGTTCAAGCTATGCCATGCTCACTTGCAAAGTAGAAGCTGGGTTGCTTAGCGAATATTTTAAGTTGAATGGCATACTTATAACCAATCGAAAGAGCAGATTTCACTCTTCAAGGTTGCTTATCCTTACACGACATATATGAGATACATTTCTTTTCAGCGCCATTATAATGAGGTTAAGTTCACTGTTGAGAGTAGTGTCTGTAGCACTTGGCAATTTTCTATTGTCTTATATGTATTAGTTTGATAGACAGTTTGATTGGATTTAGGTTTTACTTGTATATGTTAGTTGATTATATATTATTTGTGTTTTAAGATTTATATTTGAAAGGTTTAATTATTTTTAAAATTATTCTTTACTTTGAATCACTAAAACAGCTTTGAGACACAAGTGCAAAAAATATTATGCAGGAAGGACTAAACCTAACAGCTGAAGTTAACACTTGTTGATGTGTGTCAACATAAATAATCAAAGATAAAGAACAGGAGAGGAAAATAAAACATTAAAAATAAACTATAAGTGACAAGATAAAGATGTGAAATTACACTGAAGATGTCATTAAAACAAGCATTGAAGATTTAAAAGGTACATATTTCTATTTCTTAATTTTAAACATTTCATTGCACTGTACGTTGATGATAAATAGCCAGTTAGTGATATTGTAGAGAAAATGACAAATAAAATATAAACATTTGATATTCATTTAGGAGGTTTTAAAGATTATGCAAGCAAAATATGAAAATTGTAAGGTAAACATTAGTATTTTTATACTTAACATGAAAATCACTTTGTAAGTGAACTATTCAGAGTCCTAGTGCAAATAAGTACATTAAATAACGAATTTTTGTTACAAAAAAGTAGAAAAAACAGAAATTTCATTTTTTCTGAAACTGCATACTTTTAGGAATATTCTTGTCATATTTTAAAGAATTTCATCCACTAGTTTATTTTTGTAATAAAATATGACGAAAGCAATGTATCTACTAAGAAATATTAGTAGCCAGTTGTCAGCAGTTCTTCGCGAGAGAAGACGACGTCTCCTAGAGTGAATGTGTTCTCATGTGACTGAACAGCCCAATTCGAGACTTACATTGTTTGGAATACCTCTGGAAATGAGAGAAATTTGGCAGTCTTTCAGTTAATATTACAAGTCTTTTACACACAAATAGTCATATTTCTTAGTACTTTTAATAAAATAAAATAAAGAGTTGTCCATGAATATATTGAATATTTGTTTTGAATAGTCTGTGTGAAAAGTA